CCGGGGTGACATCACCAGGGAGCAGCCTGGAAACTGGAATCATGAAAATCAATGTCATGCAATTGTGGAAAAATACCCTTTTCACCCACTGACCTTGGGATAACACGGATTGCCTCAAGAGTTTGGAGGCTGCCACTGTGAAACTACTGCTACAGAAACAGACACTGGGAATTTGGAGAACCCGTTTTAAATTCATGCTGAGAATTTAAAGGACTCTTGAAACAAGCTGGAAATAGGTCAAATACTGATTGTGAGAGAACAACTACCCACATGGGTGTTGCCCAGACAGGTGGGACCTTGTGATAAAGCTGTTGATTTGTGCAATGCTTCCTCACTGGAACACCAGCACGTCCATGGGAATGTCGACCCTGTTTCCATTCCAGGTTGCACAAGAGAGAGGCAGGTGAAGAGTTAATTGTGTTCCCTTGGCAGGAACCTACGGCTGGGAGTGATAACACCAGGAACACACAGGCTTGATTTTTTGAACTCTGAGCAAATGCAGGGCCAGAGAGAGAACCCAGATCCACCAAGGACCAGCGTCTCCTCATCCCCAGGCAAGGTGACAGAATAACAGTGTCCCAGAATCACAGAATATTCTGAGTTGGAAGGGCCCACAAGGATCACCGAGTCCAACTCTTCAGTGAATGTGTCCCTGCCTTTCTCCCAAAGGGACACACCTTCCAGGTGACAGCGCTCCACCCTCCACGTCTTTCAGTCAATCACCACCTGCCTCCATGTGGGAGCTGACTCCAGGCTGGCCAAGCACTGCCAGAGAGCTGATTTAGGAACTGGACTGGCACTGCCAAATGGCTCTGCATCGATGGCTCGCTGGGCACAGCCAGGGAGCTTTCACTGCCGTGCTTCAGGGCCAGGCATGAAACACTGGTCCAAGGAGAAGCAGCTCTGAGCTGCATGTCCATTTTCTGAACCAGCAAGTCACCAGGAGAACAGATTCCGTATTGATTATTGGGTAGTAAAGTGTCCCTGCTCGTTAATCACAATGTCCTCATCATGAGGACATTTCCAGGCACGGAGCTGCTGCTGAACACTTCTGCTGCTCTGTGTTTTGGAACAGTGAACAGCATCACACTGCTCACAGTAGGGAAGTCTTATCAAGAAAGCTCTGGAAACTGGTGCATGTAAACACAATAAATGCAAAAGAAGGGCCTAACTTTTATGATTGTGGGCAACTATATGCATGTGACAACCTGAGCAGTAATATCCATGGGAGTGAAGAGACAGAAACAAGTAATCCTAGATTTGGGTTAGCTAAGGAAGTATAAGAACATTTATTTTAGTTATTGTAGTTCAAATGGAAATAAAATGGTACCACTAATATAACCCAAATGATGTGGTACCCAGATGGTAAATGGCTGCTCCTTTAAGAGGGTGGATGTGGTGTTTTCTCATGCCTGGAACTATTTTATCTCTCAGGTCTATGTGGAACTTGCTGTAGCTCCAAGAACAGCTGAAATCAACATCACTAAATCCCCCAAAGCTGCAGAATATTACAGTAGTCTTATAGCTGGGTTGCTTCCTCCTCCAGTTCTGGGTAAGGACAAGGAGAAGCCTTTGGAAACAAAGTGAGCTGCTGCTCATGTGACTGCTCAGATCACTGTTCCAACCAGCAGAAATTTGGTAAGTGCTGCAGCCCCGAATTTGCCCCACACACTTTTGATTTATTTGGACCTTCCCAAGGGGAAGGCAGGTATTTTGCCATATGGGATGTTTAATTTTATAAACCAGCTAGGCTATTAATAATCAGAAAGTAAAAAAATGAGAAGTTAGCTTTTTGTTGCAAGATAGGAAGATAAAACTGTGAAATTCAAAGATTTCTGAATGCTCCCACCTGTGTGGAAAAGCCAGTGAACAGAATCCATTAAAGCTGCATTTATTAAATGTCCACTTGTATAAAAAGCTAAAAATAGCATTTGAGTTTTTCCAATTTTCTTTTGATAACGGTTATTATGATTTTCTGCTTCATCTCAGAAAGTCATTTTGCTGCTGCTGCTGCAGTGTATAATCTGTGTGCCCTTTCTTGGTGCAGCACAAATGACAGAGTACTAATCAGATCAGAACAACAATCACGTCATCTTTGAGTAACTAGCAATAAACTGTTTTTACAAGGGAGAAAGATGAACTATTCTTAGTTTCTCTGAACAGAAAAACAGAAAATGATTGTACTCAATCTTACTCCACATCATTGCCATGAATTTCCAAGGCATTGCTTTTTCCTGGGTAGCAGGCTAATCCCTGTCATACATCTTTGTGTAAATGGTCCAGTCAAATAGGATTTCTAAGGTTTTGCTAAAAGTTTTGACTTAAAGTCTAAGAAATCCCCTTTCTCCCTGCCCTGTCTAGTGACTCTGAACCAGAGGCTGATTCCTAAGTAACCTAAATGCCCATTTTTGGTGATTATCCCACGTTTTCAGCATGTCTCATATCTACTTGTCTGCATTCTTTTACTGTTGCTGTCAAGCCTTCTGCAAACCCCTCCATTAGAAGTCCAGGAATGGGATTGTCATGACTTTCTCCAGTCAGCAGCCCTGATGAGCCAGGCAGGTGCCATGTGGTGATCCTGGAACAGGGCAGGCAGGTACAAAGCCTGTCCTGGGATCTATGGATCTGACTCCACTCCTTGTGAACCCTTTGGGGGCATCTGAAATAAATGTCATTAAATGAGCCATTCAAACCTCTTTTTCCTGTGGCCCAGCCCCTAACAATTTCCTTCTTTCACCTAAGAAATGTGAAAAAGAAGAATACCAGACAGTCACAATACAGTTTTGCCAGCTTTTATTTTAGTCCTGTTAACAAATGTATTTAATGCAAAGACAAACTAGGAACTCTATAATTACCATACTCTCTCTGGATATAGAAACCAGCAGAAGATCTCACAGTTAGGTATCAAAGAAAGCAAAAATATTTTTTTTATATCCTGAAAAGACATCCTACTTCAGGCAAGAAAAACTATAAAAAACCCCACCAACCTATCTAGAAATCCAGCAAGCCAAAAGAGAGGGAGGAGATGACCCTCTCTGGGTGTGTAATCCCTTTGGAACCACCCTGTGCACACAAAGCAGCTCAAAACATCCTCACAGGGGAAAGATTCAGTCGACCTCTGTTTTTCACATGGGCAACTCAGAAAAAAATAAAATAAAGGAGGTAAATGTGCAAGAAAAATACTTCTGTTAAAAACAACAACAAAAGATAATGGAAAAAAGCTCAGAATCCAAGTGATTGTTCTCCAAAGCGACTCCTGACGCTGCAGCCATGAAGTGTCTCCTGGAAGCACAATCGGCTCAACTGAACCGTGCAAGGAAAGTATGACCAGGAAAGTCTGAGCAGGGCTGCGAGGCCAGGGCTGTGCAGCTCCTGCAGTCACACTGCATGGATAAGGACAATAGGGAAGGAGAGGGCCAAGCCAGGAGGGCCACAATTATACAATATCAAGCCCCAGGCCTCGCAAAAATGTAACCTTAGCGATAGAGAATGAGAGGCAGAGCAATTACGTAAGTTTTCCCTGACCCCGGAGAAGGATTTGTTTCTCTTTGATCTCTCTGCAGATGCCCTTCCCAGCCTCATAAACCATGGATTTAGGAGGAGCTTCACCCCAGTGCAGCTCTTCCAACAGACCTTCCAACCACAGCACGTGGTCACTGAAACAGTGGAGGAGAAGCTTCACAGACGGGTCTGTTGCTCTCTTTGTTTATCCACCAAAACCAAATACTGCACAAAAATTGTAGAACTGATGAAAGCAACAGGATTTAGTAAGAGTTTTCCGTTCAGAAGCCAACACAGCCATTTCATGTAGGTATTGGGAGGAAGAATTCATAACACAAGCCTGTCTTTACCTCCTTCCTGAATGACCTGACCAATGGCTGCTTGATTTTGTTGTTTCTGAAAACATTCTCTTTTACATTCCATTAACTGCTCAAAGTCCTGCCACATTTTCCTTTGCTTCATATTTGGCCCGTGGCTTTCCCGTACAACCTTCTGCTTCTCTCGTAATTTCTGTTAAAAATACAAAAACATTAGATTTCTGGAAGAGTTCTACGCCACAAGAATTGCTCGCACAGCTTGGAATGACAGAGATTTTTATATGCTACTGAGATATTGTTTTGTTCAAGTTGATAACACTCCCTGCAAGTGCTAAATGCATTCACACCTGGGACTCAGATCTTTGTACAGATTGACAACTCTTTCCATGGTTTTTAACTGTCTAAATATTAGTCTTATCTATTTGAGAACTTATGCTAAAAATCTGAGATCATTTCCACACAGAGCTCTTGCAGTATCAAGGTGCAATATGCAATGGATTCCTATCATGATATTATAACATGAAATCAATGTTTTACAATTAAACCCACTCCTGATTATTAATAGTGGCAGCCCAAAGCTGTAAAACCCCCCAAAGTGACTCAGAAAAGGAAATTAGTAAAAGCTATTTGGTGTGACTTGCTAAGCCCAACCTTGTCCATGCTGATCTGAGCTTCAGACAAGATTAAAACTGGACAACTGGTTTTGTCTAAGGCAGATGATCCCCTGGCCTTTAACAACAGTGATAAGGTTGACAGGCTCAGAATTTATTGTCTTCAACAGGTTGCTTTATATACAACAGAAAATCTGAGCTGGCACAGTTCGTTATGCCCGTGTTTCAGTTTCTTATCCAAATGGTTTTCAGGGAATGTGCTGTCACATTGAGCTGTTTGACATCTTTTACAGCAGCTCATGCTATTCCCTGCAGGAAATCAAGCCCTGAGGAGTGAGCAGGATCCCTTTCCAGGGTATTAGTTACCAATGCCAGCAGTGATGGAATTTTCTTTGTAGGCTGCAATATGCTTTTTATAAAAGACTGACCACAGCCGTTGGGAATAAACCCCACAAAAATATGAACTGTCCAATTTTTGTACGAGGTAAAAGCCTCATTCTCACCTTCCCAAGGTTTTCTTGTTCAAGGATCATCCGTGTATACTGTTCTCTAAAGGAAATATAAAATGATTTTATCATGATTTGGTTCTACGTAACAGGACAGAATAATGATGCAAACATGGAAAAGGATGGAAGTACTGGGAGGTTCATAGCAGGAAGAAACCTTTTTGTTATTGGACAACATATCCCTTGACATCAAGGATCAGGTCTCCTTGTCTCAGCTGTGCAGTTGGGAAAAGTGACACTGGATAAGATCTCTTACATTTTTGAAGCAGACATGATTACTCCTCCTTCCAGCTTGAAGGCAACAGTGAGATCCTCCAGATAAGATGTACCTGATCCCCTGTCATAATGCATTTATCCTGGTGATATCCTGAGGTGAACCATGGCGAGCGTCAGAGTTCACAGATCCACAGCCCTTAATTGCTGGGAATGCAGCGTTGGAATGAGTGGGAAAGTACAGGAATGAAGGGGAATAGTATTTCAGCCCAGGTCTGACAGCCCCAGGGGCTACAATGGGACTACTGTGCATTCCTCCCTCAGAAAACAGCCCTCACATTTCGAGGCCTAAATATAGGCCAAGCAGCGTAACCGGTGACATTCATTACTAAAAGTCTTGGCTGTGCACCTTGGTCTGTAACAAGTGGCTGATCACTCTGACATACCCAAACCTGACACACGAACCCTGACAATTGAACATGCAAAGCACAACAGCCCCGTTCAGAAACAGCACTAGGACTTACTTCAAATTTTTTTTGCAATGTGACAATAGAAAAAAACTATTCACTGAGTCACTTGAAAAAAAATCAATTATATTTTGTGTGTAATTATTACATTTATGTGTGAGGGTGTGCTAGTGGAATTCAAAATAACCCAGCTCATCTAAAGGACTTTCCAGATTGCTCAGGGTAGAAGACCTTTGTGTAGAGAAATCCTAATTTCCAGAAAGCAATGCCAGCTGTGGTGGTGCCAGAGTGTGAAGGTTTGCTGGAACATGGTGAGCAGCCGGGTGAACTCCTGGCATCGCGTTCCTTTATTCCTTCCCTTTCTACCAAGTACTCCAGGATTCTGACTGGAACACTTGGTCCTGCCTGCCACAGGAATGAAGCTGGATCACTTTATGATCTCTTGCTCTTGTACAATTCCAGCCAGGACGAATCAGAGCCATCCCAAGGCTGCTCCAGGTGCTCTGCTGTCCCGCTGATCCCCAGGAATTTCATCAACCCAGAGGTGAGGCTGAAGCTGCTTGTTTGCCCTGGCACACAGCACATGTTCTAACACATTTGGCCTCAAGAATACCCTTTTTTTAAAAGTAGAGTTTTCAAAGTAATCAGAAGATTTTATGTCTTTTCTAGTAAGTTTTTCTTTACTATTTATAATGATGGCTGGAAAGAATGTAACTTAATAACTTTGTTAAAAACCCCACGACTTTCTATTTTTAGAGAAGAAAATTAACTTTTCACATTCCTAAGAAGTGACTCCACAGAACAGAGTTTATATTCAATAAAGAGGGTCTGAATTAAGACATTTTTTGTTCAATACGTTGCTAGGAAAGTGCTGGTCTATTTATGCTTCATTTTTACTCCGTTTACATTCCAGTGCCTGCTGAAAAATACATTCAGGTTCTAAAGGGATGTCTAGAGACAAATGTTACCGTCTCATTTTATATTTTGCAAGGATCTCTCTATTGAACTTTACTGTAATTCATTTAAAAGAGACGGGTCTGTGACCTCTTAAAAAGGTCAGAACTGTGTCTAGTCCCTGTGGGAGGATAATTTCCACAGCCGGGAAGTGAAACGGGGACAGTGGAGAGGGGTAACACTGTGTTCACATTCCCCTCACCATACCTGGAATTACAGAGCTGGGCTCATGCTCCATTCCAGCAGCAGGCTCTGATGGCTGGTCCATGTGAACACTCACATCCTGGATGTTCATTTCCCAAGTGTTTTTTGCTCAGCATTTGAGAACGAACCCAGCACCCCCTTCCCCACAGCCGCAGAAGGGCCGTGCCTTATGTCTGACCCCGCTGCCTCAGCTGCTCCTCATCCTCATAAATACTCACATCATCACTAAGGGTTTCCTCTTTTCATCCTTCTGTTTAATTTTGCTGTTTCCTTGTCCTTCATTAGACAAATCCTTTATTTCCTATAACCTTCCATTATTTTGTGAGATGGGATAACATTCTCTCTCCTTGTCCTTCTCTTCTCCCACCCTAACATTTGTACTGTCGATTCTTTTCTTCCTCTTATTTTATGACCCAGTGTTTGAGCATTCTCATGCCTCAGATCCTTGCAGAAGGTCTCTCTGATAGGTATTAATCCAGTCCTTCACTTCCTGGTGGTCTCTGCCTCATGTTCTAGAACATGGAGATGCAGCTCCACTGGCACCAGTGCAAGGGGCTTCAGGACAACCTGTGGTTCAGGAAGGATCTGATGCAGGAAGACAACCTCATCTCTCAGTGTCTCCCGAGGGAACCCCTGGAGTTTTCTCACTGTTTGATATATCTCTATCCCTGTCAAGGGCCCCATTCCAGAGCCTGTAAAATTTTACTGGTCCACTACTGCCTTTTTCACTCCATGAGTGAAGACATTGCTTCTGATGACACCGAATGACATTTGATTCCGTACACTGACAGATAAAACAGTTCTTCCCTCGTTGCTTCCACTGCAAGAGAAAGGTCCAGAAATGACTCTTGAAAGGTAAAAGCCCTAAGAGGACAGATATCTTGGGAAGGCAATTTATTCTTCCCTCTCCTTTGGGAAGTGCCAGATAACTCCTGGTTCTCTTTTCCTGTTGTGATGTCAGAATGCTGGATAGCCCAAAGCTTTCAAACGGAATGTAGAATCATTATTAATTATCTAATTAAGCAGTTCCACCTTTGCTTTGCCACTTGGTCATGTTTTTAACTTATTTTGTGCATGGGACAATTTTGTGCAGCACTTTGGCACTTTGTACAGGAGCCTGTAGGAGAGGCACAGCTCTGACACAACAGACACAGATCCCGAACAACAATCTCTCCTGTCACTGAAACACAAATGCAGAGAGATGCAAGAGGCCTCACATCAAGGAATTATGTTGCTGTGGCTTTTTAAAGTCCAAGCAATCAATCAATACCAGTTTCAGCTTCATTATTTTGCTGGCAGTAAGGATCTATGATTTTTTTTTTTTCTGGAAAAAAGAAATTCTATTTCCTGCGAAATTCTGAAATGTTGAAAAACTAATTATGAAGAATAAACCTCAGGGATTTTGACACTTTTACAAATGAATGCTATAAATGTTTTGGATTTTCCTGATGCTTAATTCTGACAGGGCTGAACCAGCTTGTTGACTTGTTGCCTGAGTTTCATTTCAACTTTTATGTTGTATTAGAAGACTGAACATACACAAATTTTAAACAGGATACTTTTACAAAAATATTTAGTAAAGTGTAAAAAAATCTCTATGACATGGTAATATTTAGACTTCTTAGCACAGATAATTAATCCAAAATATCTCATTCTCAGAAAACATTTCCATCTTTGGCAGGACTAAAACTACACCAAAAATAATCAGCAACTCAATTTATAGTATTTCCTGCTTCTCTCCCTGCCAGACAAAGGTGAGGGGTCCTGAAAAGAATCACAGGGTGAAGCAAATGGCTTTATGCTGGAGTAAATGAAACTGAGGGTAACCATGGAGGTTCATGGGATGGTGCAATTAAACCTCTCTCTGAGGCTGAGAATCTCCAGTGGGAAGGGAAAACCTTCTGGAATGTCTGAGAGAACTTGTAGGTTTACAGCAGTATAGACTGGAATCCGAGCTGCTTATTTTTAGATTATTATAGTGCTTCTAAATTTATCAGGTGAACTCCTCCAGTTCAAATGCCAGTGAGAATATTCCTGACTTCAGCCTCAGTTTATGGACATCCTTCATCCCACAGAGGGAACACACTGATGGACTCACCGGATCGCCTTCCGTCGCTCCTGTGGGTCTGGGGACACATAGGCCTTCATTTCCTCCTTAGCCCGCTGCAGCTGGACCTCCAGGGTCTATAAAAATACATAATTTAAATATCTCTCTATATAAATATTGCAATCTTATTCCAGAATGAATAATTTGGCCCCTCCTGTGACCCTACCCTTTTCATGCAGTGGATGTAGCGGTAGCTGCTCTCTTCCTGGGCACACACCTCCAGAAGCCCTTTCACTTCCTGTGGGAGAATAAGGACATGGTGACTGAAAGCCCCCAGGAGATGCCCTGTGTCGCCATATAAACCGTGAGAGTTTATAAGAATAATCCTGAATTAATAATTTCTCAGATGTTCATCTAATTTGGGCTTTTCAGAAGTCTCTTTTAAAGTGAAATACAGCTGATTGGATTTAGATTTGCAGTTTCAGTCATAGTCAGAGATGAGAAATGACTGTTAATGGGTGATTATTAATGACTGACTTCCAAACACTTCACAAGTGCTGCCAAGAGTCTTGTTCCTCAGCACATCTGAAGTGCCAAATACAGCTGTGAACAAGCATTTCCTGGAACACATCTGCAAAAGGGATGTTAGAAGGTACAGACATGCTAATGGGATGTTAATGAGCAATCAATAATTATGTGGAGCAGTATGGAGAAAGTGGGTTACTCCCATCTCTACATGGTCCATTCCAAAAAAACCCCAATAATCCAAATCCTGTTCTCCAGGTCACACTGCAGTTGTCGACTCCCGAGCTCTGTCACTGTGTGATTTTCACACCATCAGCTGTAAAACTGAATTCTACTCATGTCCAGCTCAATCAGTGGATGTGACTGTCATCATGTGTCAGAAAATTACTAAGAGTTGTCTGCCAAGAAAAAAAGCCTTGATTGCTGTTATAAGACAGTTCTTGCAGAACTGTCTGACTTCATACCAGGTCCATCTGTGGATTCTTTTACCATACAAAAGTACTTTTAGTGCAGGAAAATAACTATGTATACGTCCACCCACACTTTAAATGTACTCCCTTTTTATCTTGAAGTATATTCCTTTGTGGGCAAGGCCTTGAAAAGCCAAGCCCAGTCAAAATTCACAGGAGGTGATCAAGTGAGATAAAGCAGATCCACATAAACATGTTGATACTGTGCCCACCTTTGAGGACTGGGCTGTTTTAAGAACCTCCTTCAGGCAATGCACAAATTACAGACACACAAGCTCTTAGCTAAACCTGTATGGGGTTTTTTTAAAAATCCTGTTTATATACAGGAATACAAGACAGTCCCATTTAATGAAGTCTCCTTGCCATCAATGTCAGTCATTAATTATCCCTGGGATTGGTTCCTAATGTAAAGAATCTGCTAAATGCATAGAAAGATTTGTCTTGATAAATTAATCCTTATTTTGTAGTCAAATTCTTCCCTAACAGATACTATCTAGAGCAGCAGGAATTCTGGCAGATGCCCGTCCTTGCTCATCAAAGCTGGATGAGGTACCCCCCAGTCCATCTGCTGTGTGTGACTGTAGCCACTCCACAGCAGCTTCAGGCAGGATTTGCAAAGCTGGGGATCACCACTGACTCATTCCCACCTGAAGTGGATTCGTACTTCCCATATCCTGAGGGAAAGCAGGGGAAATATTGTACCACAGGGACAAACACTCTGCATTTCTCCGTGTGCACGACCAAGCCCCACCTCACCTGTTCCAGGGCCGAGCGATTGCTCTCCAGCCCGGCCGCACAACTGTCGTACTGGATTTTCTTTTCATCACATTCTTGAGTTAATTCCTGAGGTGAAAAGGGCAAAAGGGCACATAAATGAAATGTTCCTTTGACTGACACGTGACACTCAGGCCAAAGAGACACTCAGGGAATCTCCTCTGTCCAGCCCCATCCCCGGCTTTACCGTGGCTGGGTAACAGGGCCGTGCTTGCAAGAAGAAAGGACAAGTAACCATAAAAGTAGACATTGAGACAGGATAAATTTACTTGCTCCCTATGAAAAACCAGATTTCTAGTTATGCACATCCAACTCCTCCTAGATTTCATTTGCTGACACTTTGAATGGAAACATTAAAAGTTTTTCTGATAATTTTGTTGATAGATAAATGCATCACCCTATTTCCTTCCATGGCAATGAGCCAAGTTATGGCAGCTGTAGACCCAAAAGACTTGTTTTTTCATCTCTCTGTAAAATTTTGAAAACAAATGGATAAATTTGTCAGTCCCACAGACTAACACAGGACTTAGATTAATGTATTCAACTACTTCAATGAGATGTTATCTGCAAACCATTCAGAAAGGAGAGCACTAGTTGGGACCATTAATGCTGAGATGCAGAAATAGCTTTGGAACCAACCCAAAACTAACTTTGCTTTGGGTTTGAACCACGATTTCTTATATTTTCCCTGGTGTAGTAATTTTTTTTAATTGCTATAAATGACTAAATTCTGTGCCTGCACTGTCAGCTTTTACAAACTCCAACCTTTAGCACGTTGCCTGTTGCAAACACTGTTGACCCATTCTGCTCTTTCCAGCTTTCCCTCAGAGTGATATCCTTGCAGAGCACTACAGAGATCTGTAAATTGGACTTATTTGTGGCTCTGACTTGATTTAGACAGACAGAGAGGAGCGTTGGTACAAACCTGGCACTTCTGCCGGAGCTGCCTGAGCTCTTTGATGACAGGAGCAAGGCTTGCCTTCTTCTCTGCCACCACTGCATTCAGCTTCTTTACCTGAGAAAGGGACAAAAGAATATTCATTAACACTAAAAAGGACATTCATGTAATTAGGGATTTGAAAAGAAAGGGGAGACAAAGAAAAATGTGGGGAGAAAATATCTGTGATGAAGCCATAATTACGTACGAATTATATATAAATGAAGCCTTAATTATATAACCAAGTTCAGGTCTAATTAGGACAGGGAAAGAGCCCATCTGGCAGCGGGGTCATTCCCATAAACGAGACAAATTCTGCTCCCAGAACATCCCAGAGAATTCCAGGAGACAGCCCATGTGCCAGATACCAAAGAGCTTAAGGAGTAGGGAAAATGAAGGAATTGCATAGTGGGAGACTGAAAGAAAGGGAGAAATCCTTAAGAAAAAAGCCAAACAAACCTGCATAGGTTAAATAAAGCTTGAAAATGCTAAAACTGAGGCACACAGACATATTTACACTGAAAATTAAAATTTTATCCAGCTTTCTATTTGAGAGCAATTCTACTTTAATTATACCATTTTATTTTAAAAGTGCTTCGATGATTTAAAAAAACGCTATTTTGCTTTTTGCTCTTTTATAATATTTTCAAATTAGAAATTCAAGTTCTTTCTTGCTTCTACAGCTATGTGGGCAGGTAAATTAAAACATGACAGATCTAAGGGCAATTGAAAATCAGGCTATAGAGAAAAAGACAAGCTATTTAGCTCTTTAAGCATATTAAGTATCTTTCTAACAAAAGCTGAACTCCAGTGATTTACAAACATTTTAGAAAAAGATTCTGTTACAGATTCAAACCATTCATCTCTTTCAAATAATGTGCAAGAACAAATACGAAACCACTTCTGAAATCACAAAAAAAGTAAAAAAATCAAAGACAAGACTTGATACCCCTGAGGTTTCTGAAGGGGAGAAAAGGAGGATTTATTTGTAGGATTTATTTTTGTATATAGCTCTTCTTTGTACATTAAAAGAAATGCACATTTTAGTAAATTTTGTCTAGATTACCTTTGGAGATGTATCTGAATTTTATACATATATATATATATATAAACATAGATTAAAGGAAAATTATTGCCCCCCCAAAAAAACATTAAACTTGGGGTTATATGCTGAGGAACTAGATATTCAAACTGAGCAAATACAGTAGTTTAAGACAAAAATCACCATTTCAGACATATTATCTAATGTCTGGCCTTTCATTTCATCCATTTCACTCTTCACTGCAGAGACTCTTTCCAGCTCCTCCTGGGTGTAACTGTATCCAGAAATGCCTTTTTTCTCTTCAATCACTTGCTGCAGACACAAACAATAAGTGCTGAATTAACCCCATTAACCAAGAAACAGCAAATTCCTTAGTGAAGCCAAAATATTGTAAAGAAGTGAAAAGGGTAAGTACTGCAATCAATTTATTTTATTTATCAATTTATTATTATTAACCAATTTATTATTATTAATCTAGCTGCCAGCAAAACTAAATTTTATCTTGTGCCTGTACAGCAGGATGACAACAACTCTCTGTAAATGCAATGTTTGGTCACTGTGCCCACTGAAGTGAACAGAAAGTTTCCACAAAGCAAAGTGGGCTTGTGGTCAGGCTCTGAAGAAGCTCAATGTATAAAATCCAGATGCTTCATCAGAACATGTAGCTAATGATTTTATAAACTATTTTGATAACAAGAATACAGGTATTGGAAGAAAATACCACAGACAGTGTTCCTGCATTTGGGATGAATGTATATTCCCTGAATGCTTACAGTTATCCAGAGAGAAATCCTGCTGCTGCTGTTCTGGCTTAGGAAAGATTCATCCAGTTTTAAATTTAAATGCATTTTCTTCTAAATATTCTGGGGCTGGAATGTTTCCTTCCTGCCTGCTCTTTTTTTAAATACTATTCCTATATATTTTACAGCAGTAACTTGAATCCTACTCACTGTTGATCGTTTTCAAAGCCCTTACTACATCTGTGGATAGCAAAAACTAATTTAAGAACCCAGCCTTGCTCTAACTGGAGTTCGTGCAGACCTACCATTGACTTTAAAAAGCAGGGTCAAGCCCCTCAGTCTAAAATGAAACTGCAGATCGGTGCTGACAGTTGCTGAACACAAAGTACAGCAGCTCCACAGTCAACAGATAAAAATACATTCTATACCCTGATGGCTCTCTGGGTTAGGGCAGCAGGAGCTGGGACGATGTACATTAGAATCCCAACAGCATCCGTGGGATCCTATGGCTGTTAGCAGGGAAGGGAGGGCTGTGGGAGCAGCACATGCTCATGTTACCAACTGCTGCTGAATGGCCTCGTGGCGCTGCTTCAGAAGCTCCTCTGTCCTCTGGAGGATTCCATACTCAGCTGTAATTTCTGCTATTTCCAGGCGCTTCTTTTTATAAAGTGTGTTCTTGCTCCGGAGCTTATTAACGTACTGCTTGAGCTGGGGAGAGAGAGAACACAAACTCATCTCACTGAGAGCAAGAAGGGCCTTATCACAGCCTGTTGCTGTGTAAAATGTAATTATCCTCCTTGGCCTGCACGTTGAAGATGAAGTGTTTAGAACAGAGGGCTGGAATTCAGGATTCCCAGGGTCTATTTATTTTCAGCTCTGCATTTGTTCACTGGGTGAAATCAAAAGAACCAGCATTGCTTTCCGTCCCAGTGCACTCATTTGTAATCCTGAGATCACTCCCTTCTGCTCACCGCCATTTGACAGCTGGAAAAGTAAATACTCTTTGCAAAACATTATGAGAATCACGGATAATAAAAAAGTTAATGCAATAGTAATTTGCACTTGTACCAGAACCCCAGAGCTCTGCAGACCAAAACACAGCAACAGAGTGCAGGAAAATTGGAAGGGAAGAGGGCATGGGAAAAACTATCTTGAAATGTTCTCAATAGTTAAAACTTGTTCCCTCTCCTTGACTCTTGCAGATCTAAATATCACTGGCTAAGTTTTTTAAACCAGGCAAATAAAAGCAGAACCCCTGCCCTGAAGCAGAGAATGCAATACCTATTTCACTCAAAATCTGAAGTACTGAAGAATTTATATTTTTATTAAAGACTAAGTAAAATAATACAAATCCTTACAGACCAACAGCCTTAGCTAATTTACACCTGAACCTGTGTGTGTTGAATTTGTAACACATACCAAGTACCAGAGGCTGAAACAACCAGGTAATATCTTTCTCTGCCTTAATATTTTCCATCTGTCATACAGGCTTAGCTCTTACCCTTGGATTTTACATGACAGCTATGAGCTAAATGCCAGTCACAGCTCAAAAATGCACTAAGAGATGGAAAGCAAATAAAATTTATTAGAGTAAATGTTGTAAGAACAGGCTTCAGAACACCCCTTGACGAGGAGGGTCCAGTGTGTGCAGGGAGCACAAACCAGGCAGCCCCAGGAGGAAAAAGAATCCCATTACCACTGACACAGGTTTAAAATTCAAACATAAAATGACTTTAGATTTTGATATTTACATGAATTTTTTTCTTTTTGCAAAATTATCTCTCTCCCTTCTAAAGAATAAATCCAAAAAACCCAATGTGACCACAGGCTAAGAACCCCCAGAGTAACTGTATGTTCTATAAAAAGTGTCCTGGGCAAGGTGCCCACAATGAAATCAACCCTGTTCATCTGCCATCCTGTGCAATATCTAGGCCAAAGCTGCCTCTCTCTTGCTACGCTCCAGAACTATTTTTAAAGCCAAAAGCTATAAACGTTTTTGGTGAAAGAACAAACCCACAAATTACTCAATGTGCTCTATGCAGATTGGCCTCTCTGTGGCTTTGGGATAACATCCTACATCCTGCTACTACCCAGGACAAGGATATACAAGGTCACCTGAGCCCCAGTGTGGCTGAGGCAGCTCTGCCACTGTCACACTCTTTATTTTTACTTAATACAGTCAAACCAGAATTTATTCCTTTTCCCAGCAAATTCAAGTATATCCTCTTAGTTAATAAAAAGAACTTTTTTTTTTTTAAATTGCTTAGACAATACCAAGTTTTCTGTGATTTCTAAGAGATTCCAAAAGTATAAATACAAGCTCTCCAACTGAGGAAAAGCTAAAGGAAGCACAATCTTGATCAAGTAGTTCCTGAGATACTTCATTTGACCAGTGGAATATAGTAAAGGATGATGTACAGGATTAAAATTAATATGTGGCCACACAGAGCTATCGAATCTGAATGATTTTCTGTCAGTGGATCCCAGGATGAAAAGCAAACTATTATTCTCTTCTCTAGCTACTTTTAAGGTCTTGAAAATAGCTCGAGTGGGAGGGAGAGTATTTGCATATTCAGTATTCAAAGCATAATGTATTTTTCAATGGAAGTCAAAGGATCTTGTTGATTAACGAACCAACTCCACCACTGTTCTATTATTAGTTGATTAACTTAGGACTGTATAATACAAATTTTATCCAAAATGCTCATGGTGACAAGTGAAACTTGTTCATTTTAAGAGGTGGATGTCAGTCTTTCAGCACAATCTCTGGCTTTTTAAAAGCAAACTTGACCTTTCACACAGCTATTATTGCAGCAAACAAGGTAAAACAAGATAAAAACAATGGTAGCAAAATTATAACCTATGTAGAAAATCAATCAATAATTGGCAGAGCTTTCAAAAGACCTGATCTACTCCAAAGGCAGCACACATTAGTTCCTTAAAACCTCCCTGATTGAAGGCTCCTTTAGATCCAGGGCCAAATTCTGAGCTGGAATTCTTAGATTTTACTCCTCTTAAATCAGCAGCTTGTAGGGATCTTATGATAAAATTAGGTTTCTTCAGTCTAAAAGCTGAGAATCATTCTGTAGGTTTCTAAAAATTAAAAGAAAGCTCCTTGTAAAATACCACTGTTTTCATTTATGTCAGCATTGCTTCTCAGGCTTTATAAATCTCATGCCTCCACCTCTGTGGAGATGAAAAATTCAAGCCCTTACAATGCTATAAACCTTGAATTTTACTGTTGTAAAAGGTCTTCTACATAACTTGAAGAGTTCACAAAGGAACAACACTGCTTGGCCACATCACTTTAAAGTTAAGTAACCAAAGGAATCCACTTTTGAGCAGCAGCATTTTCCCATAGACCAGCTCAGCTGCTCCCCGTGTCCAAACTCAGCAGGCTCATCCTACAGAATTCCCAGGGATCTGCCCGTGCCCGCAGTGATATTCCAGTCAAGGCCACGTCCACCAGTAGCTTTTCTTTCTCAAGTCATTTAACACAAACAGTTATTTGAGCTTCAAAGATTAAATGACTGGCCAAGACCCAAGTGCTGGCACTGAGTGAGCAGTTGAAGCAAACCAGCCTGGAGCCCCTGTTTGCTGATCGAGACAGAGCCCCTGGAGACACAAAAACCATCCAAAGGAAAGCAAGGAAAGATTCTGCTTTTTCACTTGGCTATTTTTATGGGTGAGTGTAACATAACAAGTGTGGAATGTGGATTATGGAATACACTGACTGAAAGCAGGATTTTGATCTCTCATACAATGTCTTGCAGGTATCCACCATCCCTGGGCAGATTTCCTGCATTATGTTCCATTTTTATTGGAAGAATCCAGCAATGCACCTCCTTTATACTTTTCTCCATTTATTAGAATCTGAGAGAGGTTGGCATGACCACATTAAGTCTCACCACGCTTAGTGAAGTTATTAAATATGACAACAGTTCTAAACACAACAACATCAAATCAGGGATGTTGAAACGGCTTCTCCAGGACCATGCAGAGCCTGGCAGGACCCCCCTCCAGGAAAGGACACCAGCCTGTGCTTTAGTGGACTGAACTAGGAACCCAACTCAGCTCCTCTAATGCTCAGTCTTGTGCTTTCACTACAAGCCCATCACTTCTTTAAAACTCCCATTTGCTCCATGTGAAGTTTTCACAAGGTTCTTACTCCAAGATTATCATTAAAGGACAAAATGGATAAACTTGTTTTCTGAAAAGAACAAATCCCACATAAATCCCTCACTTTAGAGTAAAATCTTTTAAAATAGTATTTGCTGGATTAATGCAGCAATTTGATTGTGTTATTGTAATCAAAAAATTCTTCATACAAAAGTACTACCAAAAAAAAGTATTGTTTGTAAAAAAGGAAGTATTATTTGTAAAAAAACACCAGTATTTCTTTATGAAATACCAAACCAAAGTTCCAAATAACCAGTTCTGTTAATAAAATTATTTGCATAAGCACAATAATTGAAGAAAATCTTAGCAGACTATCTAGTTCTTAAGAACTGAGGAACAGATGTTTTAATTTCTAACTAGACTAATTAACAGGATACAGACTGTCCAAAGTATTAAAATTCAGTTAAGAAAAGTTCCTGATCATGACAGTTTTCCATATTTTTTCCTAAGAGGCTCTAAATTTAAGCCAGTACAGCCACTGTTGGACAGAGTTAATAACTCATACACAGGATGAGCTTCTAAAAGGCACAAGCAGTAGGATCTCGGGCTATTCAAACAAGAGTATCCTATGGTCTGTTTGTGGTACAGCTCAGCCAGGAAAACTCTTCCTTAGCATTGAGTATTCATGTCTAAGGAGCCTCTGACAGACTGGAATGGGACTCTGCTAGAGCCTGAGGGAGAGCTGAGGGAAAGGCAACAACTGACAGGACAACATTTCCTGGGTTCTGGCTTAAACCAGCCCACACTGATGGAGAGAGACCATTTACAAGGGCCTGGAGAGATAGGACAAGGGGGAATGGGTTCACACTGACAGAGAGAAGGATTTGATGAGATATTGGGAAGAAATTCCTCCCTGTGAGGGTGGGGAGGCCCCGGCACAGGTTGTCCAGAGAAGCTGTGGCTGCCCCATCCCTGGAAGTGTCCAAGGCCAGGTTGGATGGGGCTTGGAGCAACCTGGGCTAGTGGAAGGTGTCCCTGCCCGTGGCAGGGTCTTTAAGGTCCCTTCCAACCCAGGCCATTCTGGGATTCTCTTATTCTGTGAACATTTGAGTCATGAGCTCCTTTACAGCTACTCTCTTCAAAATCCACCCACCCAGTCTGGAGTGAGATAACTGTTCCTGGTGGATTCAGGTGAATGGACAGTTTTTGAGACAAGATCTATGGTCTGAGGCTGTTTTCTCTGTTTGCAAATTGAAACATTTTTCCCCTGTATTTTCCAAGGAGCAGGTTGGCATGGACAAGCATTTGTATGGAAAAATAACTAAACTCCTTATGTAAATGAATATTCCAACCTCACACACCTGTTACAAAGTGAGAGGACTTTCTTTGCCACATTTACAAACCCAGATTCATTTCAGCTCCTGCAGCTCAGCACAGCTCTGAGACTGCTCTGCTCCCATGCCTTGGGCAGCTCGAGGTTCTTGGGGGCCTGTGCTGAACTCTGAAAAGTACAATGGGTTGTGTAAAGAGCTAAAAATATCCCAGCTTTACCCAGGATCACTTGCAATTGAACCATCCAGCCTTCTAAGTGTCAACATGTGATTCCCCAATTTTCAGGATCTGACAGCTGCAGCGAGGAGCCGCCAACTGTGCCTCTGTTCGGTGCACTTGGCTTGAAGCACTTAAAAAGATTTCATAATCCCCAAAGCAGACAATTTATTCCCATTTTCTTTGTGTTTGATGTAAATGAATTGGTTATTCCCTGCTGTTTCTTCTGAGTTCTATCCAGGTGTACAACCTCTGGAACCCTGTGGAATGCTGTAACATTCCTTTTTATGACTATGGAAGAAAGCAAAACGCTGGCACCTGAAAAGCTAAGCCAGGATTGACCTTTTGGTGATTGAAGGGCTAAGAAGATGTCAACTGGAGATCCAAACACTGGTTTGGGAGCAAAGGTGCTGATTCTTCCATTGCCAAGTCTTGGGAGTGCCATGATGTAAGAGGAGAGAGCAAGGTGAGACAAAGAGATTAGAAATACTGGGTATAGGAGAAATATAATGCCTTGATTTCACTGTAGTGTTCAGATGGGATTAAAATATCCATTAAAAAATCCATTTAAACTTAAGACAGCAAAGCTATTTGTTAAAAAGCCTCTTTCTCCCTTTTAAAAATGGAGGAACTGAATGTAAAACGTGTGTGGCTGCAACAGGAAAGTGCAGGGAAGCTCCTGGTTGCCAGAGTGCAAAGTGAAGGGTGAACGTCCAACGGAATCCACGGATTGCAACAGTGACTCACCACAGCATTAACCACCATTCCCTTTGCTATTGGCTCACAGCTGCAGAAACAGAGCACTGAAGCAGAACATACAAATCCTAAAGCAGAACATATTGGAAACTAATCTACAGCAAAAGGCTGAGGGTGAGGAACCGAGGCTGGCACTGATGAGGGAGAACCTGCTCCATCACCTCTTCCCTCCCAGCCCCATCCCTTCCATCAGTCCTGGCTTCCCACACCTCCCCTCTGAGGCAGGACTGATTCTGCAATGTGCATTTGCGAGGTACTTTGAGGAGATGCAAAATTTACAGCACGAGGCCCTGTGCAGCATTTTTGGCAGCCAACGTTTCCAAAGGAGTTAAATATCACTGTCTGCACTTTACAGATGAGGAAATCAGGACCTTTGAAAAAGCAGCCATCAAAAATCATCAAGAATTCAAATCCTTTCCTAGTTTTTAGCCATAGGAAACACCCTTTTTACTGCTTTACACTGGTGCCTGTGAGTACCACTGCACTACAGCCAAGGAAGTAATAAAAGAGAACAGGACATGGATGTATATATTGGCTTCCTTGCCAATACATATTTCCTTGAAGAAAGTATTTTACAAACCAGGAAATGCTTGCAATGGAAAGACAAACACTCCTGATTTTAAGCTGATGGTTTTCTCCAAATTGCTCAGTCATTTATCCTTCACTCTGCAAAATGAAGACATTTTAAAATTGAAAATATTTAAAAAATCAAGAGCAGAACACATTTGAACAGAAGGAACACGGGTCATGTCCAAAACAGGTCTTGTCCTTTTCCTGTCTTGAGCCTCTTCCTTGTGTCAGACAATTAACTAGAATTTTTCATTACTGAGCATTTTAAAAGGTTCCTCCTTATGAGGTTTCCCTCCTACCCTGTTCTCCTTGAATTTCTATGGATCAGAGTTTCCTGTCCCCCTCAAGAACAGGCACAACAGGAATTATTTCTTACCTTACAGTGAATGTGCAGATAATGTAAAACATATGCTGCTGTCTTGGTAATGCATTCTTGTTGATTAATTAAACACTTCTTTCCCTCACATGTCATGAAACACAGATTGTCAGATTTCTGCTTTTATTTTTGCTTAAAAAGTTGTCAAAGACTCCAGCAATGTGCCCACTGGGGCTGAAAACCCTGCAGAGAAATCTAATCCAGTGGGTTTCTTATAACTGCTGCCTAAGGAATGTGATACAATATGTGATGGGAAGAGAAATCAACATCTTAATTTTTCCAAGTCCCCGTGCCATTACTTCCACCTGTAGTTTTCATCCATACTCACTCTACTCTTTAAGACTCCTTTAAAACAAAACTGGTTTTGTGGAGCAGGAATGTCCTATGGGACTAGGAAGGGAGTTCCTTCTACAAAGGGCGTTCCCTGTATTGAGTAGTAAGTAAAAAAAGCACAAAAACAAAGAAAAAGCAAGCAAAGAGTGTGTTCCTCTGGATAAATGATGGCAGTGCAAATGAAATGTTCCTCTGGATAAATGATGGCAGGGCAAACAAAGACAATATGTGAGAGAATGAAAAGATATATTAAGTCAGAGAATGAAGCAGCTAAAATACTCTTCAGTTTAGTGACTCTGCCTGTGAGTGCCCTTAGCAGCTTCTCCCAAACTGGGAAAAATTACTGGCTGGAGAAAAGTCAATTTATTTTGGTGACAAACCACTACTAAGCTGCAGCTCCTTTATTCTGTGCAAACTTTTGAGAAAAAAAAGAGTCTGGGAAATTTGCTTTCCAAGTAAAAACTTTTGTGGAGAATAAATACCACAGGACTAACTGATAATTACTGTTATTATGCTTTATAATCATAGAGACTTTATATACAATTTATAATTATATCAACCTTTGTATTCAGTTATTTCCCATCATAACACTGTGATGATATTTTGATCCAGAGTCTGGAATGTTAGGACAGCCCAACAGACCTTGCAATGGATTAGGTACCATGTGAATAATTGTAACTAATAATTTGAAAATAGCTAAAAATTCAGCACTGTTGCACTATAAATATTGGAAAGCATTTGGAAGCACTGGACAGCACTGTATTATCTGCACATTAAAAAAAGAGCCTTCAAATATGTTAATTTTGGAATTTGATGACAAAAATGTGCATTAAAAAAACAGAGGCTGATCTGTGGCAATGGTGTGGTCTAACAATGTACCATAAAAACGCTGCAGAAGGAGCAACTATATTTGCAGTGCAAAGTTAAAAGGAAATTGTGAGTTAACAAAAATTGATCCATCTCTTTAAAAATCCCCCTCTTCCTTCTCTCCACTGTTTCATCCCATACCTCATCCTCTGTCAGGATTTCAGAGCCTTCCAGCTCGTGGGCCTGACTGCTCCTCTGCTGCACCTGCCTCTCCAGCCTGGACATCTCCTCCTTGGCAGCCTGGAGTTCTTCTGCCTTGGCTTCCTTTTTCCGGGAAATTATGGATGCCTGCAGGATCAGGAAAGTCAAAATTGCCTTGTTTGATCATTTAGCAAAATGGAACCCATCAGGTTTCAGGCACTGCCCCCCTGAAACCACATTTGAACTGCCAGAAACTGATTTTCATCAGGAAACGTGAGCATGTCTCACTGCAAAGGAAACATATAAATAGATGTATATATCAAATATATCCATTATATACAGCGGGTTAAATCACAACCTCATTGCAGTTGGCAGCAGGATCCCAACTTTCTCCAGTGTGGATGAGATTTCCAGCACATCCTTTCTGCCCAGACTCAAGTGGATATATTTTACATTTTACATTTACATTTCTTCCCCTCATTTTTTCACTTTCATTGAGGAAAAAGGGAGGCATTTTAGCTGCTCCATTTCTCCTGTTTAGTCCCTTTCTGTGCATATGTAAGATACACCAACATGGCTTAACTGGAAAGTTATCCAAGATTTCACAAATGTCATAATACAGATTTTTATAACTCCAACCTACTCCAACCTACAGAAATATGTTACACTAAAGCAGAACTGAGCCACTAAATCTTGGCAAATAGCTGGAAGATGATGAATAAAGCAATACAGCACAGAAATAGTGCAGATTACAGATTATACTTTTCTTTCTGAGTCTAGAATATAAAGCATTTGAAAAATATTTTATACAAGACTGCATATTTAATAATACCTGAGTTTTGAGCAGAAGCTGACAGATTTGGGAACATAATATACACTAGTTCAGGGATAAAAAAAAAAAGAGGGATTTTTATCTTGCCAAAGTATCCTGTTGAAACATATTTTAAAATAAAACAACAGGTTAATTTAGATGCACGTGCATGAATTTGGAGGCATGGCTGGTTTCTTCAAATGGAAGGGAAAACTCAAAAAAAAACGAAGCCAAAACACACCAGTTTTCTCACACTCAGCTGAAAGGACCAGCTCTGTTCCTAAAAATATCTCTGCCAGAATCGTGCTGGGGTGGGAGCTCAGCCCTGGAGCTCACCAGGGATCTGCAGTGACAAACTGGTACAACAGAGATGATTATTCTGTGGAACAGAACCAGGTCCTGGCAGAAAAAAGCAAAGACCCCAACTTTGAGCAACCTCAACTCCTGGGGCGGATCCTCCTCTCCACCACAGCCCAACTGGCCTTTGGAACCAGCACATTCCAGAGCAGGATTTTCTTTCGGGAAGAGCATCTCTTACAAATCAAAATGGTGTGTTTCACATTGAATTTGTGGCTGGACTGCATTATACATTTTATCCCAATTTTCCCCTCCCACTGATACATTTTACTTGAGCCTTTTTATTTTTTAAGCCATCCCCACCAGCAGCATCATGAAAATCTTCCATAAAATTAGCAGCGGTGCAGGTTGCCTGGAAAAGGAACCACTCAGGTTTCTGTGTGAGCTCTGAAAATCTCCTGGTTCATAAATCCTTTTTATAACTTGTGAATTTACTAAGACTAGACCAGACAGCCTATTTTGTAGCAAGATTATTTTATAGCCTCAGGATAAAAAAAAAAAATAAAAAAATCAAAGAATTCCTTCTTAATAGATGTAACGGGGAAAATGGCATGGGGTCAGACACTAGGAGGGGATGGAGCTGCAGCAGGCAGCCCTCGTGCTGCCTTTTGAGAATCCATCCACAGCTGGAGCTTTACCAAAATAGCTCCTCCAAAATGATCCTTCCAGAACTGCTGTGCTGCAAGGACAGCATCAATACATGTTCACTGACACTGCTGAAAGCAACTGCTTGACTCAGCCCTCAACACACACACGTTCAACAGCTCTTTATTTTTCTTTTTGTCCTCCATTATTATGTATTTCTGATTTATGCTAAATAAATTAAAGAAAAAAAAAACCAGCATGTAAAACAATCAGTGACTGATTTTTTCTCCTGCTTTTGCTTAAAACACAGTTTTGTTCCCTTCTTACCTGCTGGCGATACATGGAAAATTTACTATCTGTTGGCTCATACTTCATCATTCTTTTCTCAGTAAGCTGATTCATTTGTGCATTGACTTCATTTATCTGCAAGACAGAGCAGAAAACTAAGGAAAAGGAGCTTGATTTCTTTTTCTTCTCCAAGAATTAAATGCTTTGCAACCCAGATTTACCATCCAGCAAGTTCCTTTTCTAAAACAGAGAAACAGACCCAAAAAGCTCCATGAGTCATTAAGTATTGGCCAGGAAGAGGCTGTTTTTGGATTTCCAGTTCTGTGCCTTTATGATAAGGCAGAAACACGACGTTGGCCCTGAAAATGAAGTAAAGTGGTGCATGTGGAGAGAAAATGCAGTGAACTGGTACAGGAAAAAGACTGTTATTGCCACATTCTGAGTGAAAAATGCCATTTTATCAATATTAACTAAAATTCCTTTTCATCCAACAGTTTAACCACAAGTTTAAAGAGAAGCAAATAAAGATTAAGGGATAAAAATTTCATCAATACTTTGAGAAATCACAGACCATCATATTCCAGCTGTGTGGCACCTTTTTTTTCCTGCCACAAGATGCACTTGGTTGCTCCTAATCCCAAAACTGTTGAGCTTCATTCCAGCCAAAGCTTCAGAGTTGCTGCATCTGGAGCTCACAGACACACCAGTGTGCAGATTCCAGCTTTCCCAGCACACTGGGACTCTCCCAAGCCATGGAAACCACAGCCCTGGCAACCTTCCTTTAATTCTCTGCTCTCTAGATGGGAGCTGATAAGGCAGCAGTGTAAATATGTGCTGAAATCCCCTGGAGTCAAACCCTAACACAGGGACAGTGCTGGGCATCACCCTGACAATCTGGGAGCAATATCCATGTGCCTGGAAAACCAAGTATTGCAAAAAAAGTGCTCAACAGGACTAAAAATACTCTAACACCTGTAAAAAAAAAAAAAATCTCCTGTGAATTCTATTCTATTAGTGGCAGAACAGGCCTGAATTTGAAAATGGCATAAGAATTCTCTTGTGTGAATAAATTCCTGGGTTTTATATTCTAAAATGCATGATGGTAACATGCTTAGTGCAGTTCAGCTCCTTTTTAAGGCACTGAGATAATAAAAAGCTGACTTAAAAAAAAAAAAACTAAGGCCATGCTGTGATAACAGCCAAGTGTATGACATGGTTTTATTATCTTTCAAGAAGAAGATACTTCCAAAATATAAAAAATCAAAGGTTACATCATGGAGAAAGAGAAAAAAACCTCGGAGCCTTTTAAAACATTGCCAAAAACCCAACAATACACTCGGAAAAGAAACGTGCAAAACAGGCTTTCAAGAATGTCTGAAAGACATAACTGCAGCCACAAATATTGTTTTCATTAGAGGGAATAATCTGGGAAAGCAGAGGCTGAATCACAGAGCTGGTTTATTATTTCAGCCCTAATCTCCCAGTTATTAATGCTGTCATCCCTAACCACGGATACTCTGCTTCCTCATTATCTCCATTTCATAGCAAAACCTGAGCTGGACATCCTGGAGTATTAAACACCTCCCTTGCTAACTCCATTGTAATCTTGTAATCTTCATCATCAATAGAAATACTAATAATTTGCATTCCTCTAAATTCTTCTAGAACATAACATTAGACATTTAATCTTTCATTTAGGATTATGCAAATATGAAAATTTCATAGAGTGAAATACATAAATGTACTTGTGTGGCAACAAATCCCTCTGCATATTTGTAGGATATCCTACAAATAGGGATTTTTTCTCATTCTAACACCATTTGCTTTTAATTTCTGAAAAGATCTAGACAGGTAAGTCAATTGATGCCCAAATTTCCTTTGCTCTTCACAATTAAACCAAACAATGCAGGTCTATTCCAAACACTAAAGAGTTCTGAGCCATTGCACATGGATTAAGGCATCATATTGTGAAGACCCATCACTCAGGGAATGTTGTTCCCTCTATAAACTCTGTGTATGTGTTGGTATAAACACTCCCCTCGAGGTCTCTGAGAGTTAAAAACAAGTGAAATCTGAAAAAACCCAACCCTTTAGTGCTAGATTACCAGCTCTGCTCATACCATTCCAAATTGCCAACACAATTTCCTAAATAGCACCTAAGGATATGATTGGGTTTGGGGTTTGTTTTGGGGTTGGTTTGTTTGTTTGTGTCTGTTTTGTGGGCATTTAAAAAAAAAAACAAACAACTTATCTGAGAGTTTGCATTTAGTGATTAAGACATTATCCTTTGGTTTTACAGCTGAAGGGAGGTTCCTTTGGGAATGAAACAAGGGTATAAAGTAGGGATAAGAACACCAGAGTGTACAAGAAGCTCAGCTTATGCTCCAGAACAATTCAGTGCAACCTTGGTGCCCTCACCTCACTTTGCAGGGCAGTGAGATCAGACTGAGTCATGGCTGGCTCTGCAACCACCTTCTGCAGGAGATACACTGAGGCCTTTTTACTCTCAAGCTCTCTGGGCATTTTTTCAGTAACCAGGTAGGAATTGAAATTTATCTCCTCTTCCAGTTTCTTCATTAAACCTTAAAAACAAATGAAATCAGTGTGTGACTATAAAAGCAATGTAGCAGGTAATTAAGTTTGATTTCCCCAACACACTGGAGTTTTTAGCAGCTGATTACAATAACAACAGCATAACATCTGAGTCTTCTTTTCAGTGCTCAAAGAAAGGGAGTTACTTGATTTAAATTTTTAATCTGGATGTTAAAACAATACAGTAGGTGTTATTATGCACCTCTAACATACAACTATTAACTCCTTGACAGATTCTTTTCATCAATAAACAAGTAAATCCCTTCTAACATGAAACTCCAGCTGAATCAGATGCAAAATTCAACACATGGCACTGATATAAACTGCCATTAAACCTTTATCTGTACAAAAATCTGAATTTGGCCCAGCTCATGTACAGATTTGTTATATCCTTGGAGCTTCACCTTTAAAAGAAAGCTTTTTTTCCATCTGGCATCTAAAAAGGCCTTAAAATGGGCAGAGTTTAATGTATGCCTACTTTAAGGGTCTTTTATATTGCTGGGACACTCATAAATTGCCTCCCTGTAAATAGCCACTATTTTTTCTTATAAGAACAAATGTTTAATCTCAGGAAGCTTATAGACTGAGAATGCAGAAAATAACAATTAAATAAAAAATCAAGAAGAAATTCTTGAATAATGGCATTTATAAGTTTTGTTCTACACAAGCTTAATGCATCTATATCTTACCATGTAAGACTTGGCTCTTGTACAGAGAGTAATTCAGTCTCCTTAACAGTTAATTTATAAATAAACCCAAGTACATACAGATAAGAACAATTCACAGGTAGAAAAATGCAACAGAATAAAAGGAAACATCTATTTAAATTACATTGCAGAGTCTGCACTGACAACAGGCAGTTTAGTGCAATTACTCCTCTGAGACAACTGTGCCAAGGACTACAGGAGTTGGAAGTTACATGTCAGATGAGAGTGGGAACGTGTATTTCAGAGCAGTTTTTATGATCTAGATGACTAAAAGGTAAGTACTCCTGGTTCTTTTGCTTTATAAGATAACTTGCTGGACTTGGGGGGTTTTGTTCTCTCCATATTTAGGAGAAGATGGAATTGCAATGAAAACTGCCAAGAAAAACAAGAAGTTCACAATTTTCTTCTCTTTCATTTACTGCACAAGCAGAGAAGAGCACAGAGATACAAAAGTACAGCTGATGTTGCTGAAACAGAGATGGGAAAGGATGTAGATGAAAGCAGATTTTGGTTCTCAGGCTAAAGAGCCTGACTGATAAAACAAGGTCAGAATGAAGTGAAACAGCCCAGGAAAAGGGGCCCCCTTCATTCTGCTGCTCTTCACCTCTCCCACTCTGCCCTGAGAGATCCTCCTCACCCCCTGCTCCCAGCCCAGGCTGCCAGGAAAGCTGCCAGAGGGGAAATAAGCCATTAGCTCTTGAGAAAACCTCAAGAACTGGAAGAAAGAAAACAGACCCTGGGGAAAGCAGCGCTGCCAACAAAGGCAAGTCAACACAAACTAAATATGAGTGGGAATTCCTCTTTTCCAGCAGTTTAGTTTGTTGGTTTCTGCATTTATAGAAAGCAACATTACAGAAGGACCTTCTCCCCTTGGTGGAGAGGCCATTTATTTCATGCAAAACAGCCCCCACACTGGTTTCAGAGTGGAAAAACCAAGTTACTCTGTGTATGGAACAGCCATCGTGTCCTTGGCACTGCAGCTGCACCTGAGAAACACACTGGGACTTCCTGGGAGAGATTTCCCAATTCTTTCTTCCACAAGAGTTCCATTCCAATCCTCCCCAGCCCACCACAGAGCTGGGCAGGAAGGACCACATTTTAATGTCTCACTAGAAATCTCCCACCTCTGCAAATGCAGCAAAGCTGCTTCCCACATCCCCTGGGAGCTGAATTATCACCTCAGAACTCACTGGAACACAACTCCCAACCCAGTATTTATGCCCAAAGTCTGTGGTGTGGAAATCAATGTGATATTGATTATTTGGATATGAAATATTAATATTCTAATTAAAGCAAATTAACTTCTTGGTTTTCTTGGCAGCAAAAAAAAAACAAACCTGCATATATAACCTATACTTTATTTCTTGTGCTGTTCCAATTTTCTGATCAAAATGTGCAGCCCAAAAGATTTGTCATAGACAATAAACTTAGCAAAGAACCACAAGAGGTTTCATAAGAGCAGGGACCTTTTGACTTCATGGGCTATAACCTTGATCACTATCTGATTTATTTCCCAAATAACCTCAGAGTTGCTCCCAGCTCCTGTCACACCCTGACTGGTTCTTGTGCTTATTCCTGACAGTGCAACGAGCAACAAAGCGAGTTAAAACCTGACATCTTGATGGGGAAAGACATGATGTCAACATCCCTTATGACTAATGTTTCTTCCCTAAATACATTGGATATATTTTCCCTGCTCTTCAATTCAACATATGGAGAAGTAACTACTGAAGAGCTACTTTAGCTGCTTAACAGAGCCTTAAAAACCCAAACATGGAGCAGCTCTTGGTTCGGGGTTTTGGTTTTTTTTTGTTTTGTTTTTTACAGTGAAAAACATTCTTTTGCAAATTCCCAGGCTAGAGAGGGAAAAAAAAAAAGCCACCATACTTCAGATCTTTCCATTACACATATAAATTCTGTTTTTAATGTTTCAACATTGACTTATGGTTACAAAACGTACACACGTAAGCGGCACAGAAATCTGGCTCTGTGCCCTAAGGTTATTTTAACAAGGTTCTGCCAACCATGTATTTACATGTGCAGAGCTATTCAGAGCAACTCCTCATGTTTTCCATTCAAATATTTTCATTATTATTATTATTATTATTATTATTATTATTATTATTATTATTACAGAGAGAGGGATGGGAGAAGAGAGTTTATTCCTGCTTGCTCAGTTATGTAGAGGAGAGGCGACTTTCTCTGCATAATTCTGCTGGTGGACTTTAAACTTGATTCACCTCACGCTCAGGTTCCCACTTCTTTTCCCACTACAGGGATGCCAACTGCACATCCTGGACCAGAACCATTTGCAACAGGACTTCAGTTTTTTAAAAGGGGGGAAAAAAGAGAGAGGGGCCCTCATTTTATAGATTCTCTGCCAATACTTTGTTCAATATCACATCAGAAGGGCACGACAAAGGCATGGCTGGAACAGACTTCCAACATCAAATCCCTTTCTGCAGGGACTGAAATGATTCCCTCCACAGCTTCCAACGCCACCACTTCCAATTTCCCTCTGTTAAACAGGGATTTTAAACAGGGATATTAAACAGAGGCCTGGGACATGCAAACACTGACAGATCAATCATCCCTTCAATATATCCTTGAAAATCTGAAAAGCTTCCTGAATTTGCCACTGTAAATTATGCTCTCCATGTTTATAATTATTATTGGAGCTCTTTGAAACCTCTCTGACCTTTCAGAGTTCTTCTTGAGTGTTGAATTGTCACAGGCTGCAGTGATGGACATCTCAGAGCCCAAACCAGGGACAGTGGGACTGCTCTTGCATTTTCTCCCAGAAACAAACACATGGATATCACCTTATTTATGACACTGGGAGCTCCTGTTCCCCCATTTTTATACCTGACTCACAAGTTCTTTGCAGAGTCACTTCCTAGGAAAGAGCCTCACATTCCATAAACACATTGCATATACATTATTCCTGGAGGAATGCCGTGGAATTCGGCTATTCCTTAAAATAGAACCTGTTGGCATGGGCTTGGCTTCCTAAGTGATTCCAGTCACTTCAAATCAACAGTCTCCTCATTATTCAGTCACTTCCCTATTTTTATTTCCCCAGAGATCATTTGCTATTTTCTTGCAGGAATCTGGTGAAAATACTAAACAAAAAAGATCCAAACCCCACTGGGTGATGGTTCCACTTCTTTCTAAACCTTCCACTAAACTCCTTGGAATCCTTTTGACAGAGGTCACGTTAAATTTTTGCTGCCTTGTTTGTTCTTCAAAATGAGGTGCAAGAGTCAAAGACCTTAAAAACACTACCAATCTTACCAACCAGACTTGTATCTCATCAGAGATACCAAATTATCTTAAAACTGCTTAACCCTCCCCTTGCATCAATTGTCAGTGACTTTATAATAAATAATATCTTCTAAAGATGGAAATAAAGTTCCATCTGAGCAAGTCTCTTTTACCAAATACTTCTAGAACTTTAATTCCAATGTGGTCTGTAGTTTTGGAGGAGATCATTTAACCTTGGAATTTTAGGGAAAGGTGGTTCTGTGAAAAAGAAAAATGCTAATGTTTTCTATTAAATGGAATATATAAATAATAGCTTGCTAACTTTCTATTTTTCATCAAGAATGAAAGAAAATAGACATCTCTACAAAGCAATTCCTCCTTGACCGGTGTCTGTGAAGTTCCCAGTGTCCTAAATCTATTACTACACATAAATTTAATGAATTTTATAAATTACACATTTTACTGTTTATCAACAATCATTTTAACACATTCTTTAATCAATATTTCCAAGCTACTCATCCACTTTTTTCACATTTTTGCCAATAAAGTGACGAATAATGTTCTGCAAAGTAGACAGAGATGAAGAATTTCAGTCATTCAGTTTGTTTAACAATTTGTGTTTGTGCCAGCAGAGATAATCAGAGCAAAAAGGTGGCAATCTTGGAGAGAAAGCATGAGCTGGGTTATGGTTATTCAAACTGGTGGCCAGTGTTAATAAAAATATAACTCATATCCAGAACAACAACAGAAGAAAACCCTCCAGAATCTGCAAATTCAGGTTATTCAGGGCTACCAGCAGCAAATCCCTTTCTAACTGAACAACATCCTGAGTAGTATTGAAGTTAAGAAATAGGGAAGGGCTGAAGTCAATAAACAGGGAAGGTTCTGTGAAACCATCATCAATTTTAGTCTCCAGAACAGCTCATAACAATCAGTGATACAACACAAAGTCTTATAAATATTATGTTTCTAGGAGTTAAGAACCTGCTAACCATAAGCTGTATTTTCCTGGCACATTCAAGCAGGCTCATGTTAATTATATGCTAATGATTCTCAGGAATACATGGGAGTTGCATTCCTTAAAGAGTTCCTTCCCATTTCTTTAAAGCACTTCATCCTACATTAATTATGAAGTCATCAAATCCATAAGACAAACAACAAAGCTTCTACTCATGAACAACTTCTAACATTTTATCTTGCCTAGGAAGTAAAAACTGAAGTATTAAAACAGTGAAATATTAAAAACGGAAGAAATTTCTTTTAAAGGAAAGGATCTCACTTCCAGTGAAACTCCAGCTGTTGGACTGTCAGCAGACAAACTACACTGCTATGAGGAGGCAGCTGAGGCAGCCAAAGGGAATCTTCAAACTAAAATACATTGTGCTAACTGTAACCCAACAAAGCTTTTAAAATAACTGGAAGCTTTTAAAATAAATGCACTGTGCAGTGCACTGTGGTCACTTAATTTCAATTATTAAAAAAACAGCTGGCTTTCTGTAATTGCTGCTACAGGCAGTGCCTTTGTAACTCCAGTGGGGAAGAGCAATTGCAGAGCTGAGTCCTGAAGTCTTTGTCTGGGCAAAATTTCAACACAAGTTTTCTTAAGTAATGACTCCAAGCTTTGCTTCGGAACATCTAAATACTTTTTGTTTTCCCCTGCAAGTAGGACTCAAGATAAGGAAATTAAATATGTTAACTTTATTTTCATCTCAATGATGACATGACATATTTACTGGCTTTTTATTACGTTACCTTTGCTTCTGTGAACTGAACCCATCAAGTTTCCATTGGCCTTTAAAAAACTCAGGAACTAAAACAGAAATGTTGATACAGCTTTGCTGTATAAACTCTCTGATAGCTACTGCAAAAAAAGGAGCAGTTATAAAATCCACTGCAGGGCCCTGTGAGTGAAGAAGATGGTTCAGATACTCCCTTAGTTCCACTTGTGGTTCAGTGGCTGATGAGCATCATAAAAAAATGAAGTAAAATTACAAAGTAATAACAACACAACGAGGTGGAGACTGAAAAAAACTTCTTTAACTCAGAGGAGCTGCCAAAGCAGTTCAGTGATGCAACTGAAACAGCAAATGGTCTTGAAAGAGTAGGACAATGACTTGGTTTACTAAATTTAAATTAAGAAATAGCCAGATTCTATAATTTTGGAATTAATTTATACATGTTTCTATGGCACGTTTTTCACCACAGTAACCCAGAATTCAACGGGAAAAGCCCCATGGAAGGGACAGGTTATCTTCCATACAATAAAGTATTTCCCAATAAATCCACCCCAATACCTGCATGAACAGCACATAAAACCTCTGTCAGTCCTGTGATGTGTTATTAATAATCAAATGTGAGGAATAAACTGAAAGGGGTCAGTGATTTGCAAAGATCACACACGTCTGAAACACTGAACCCTCAAAAATTATCCTGGAGGGTCCCTCCCAACTCAGGAGATTTTATGATTCTGTGACTCTAAACTGACTCTCAGTTTTGGTGTCAAATTGCCCGGATAATCCTTGGTACATTTCCTTCAAAGTGATTAAATCACCAGAAACCTGGAGGTTGTCAAACTGTCCTTTGGAGACAGTCAGTTCCACATTTCTCTAGTAACTGCAACTCTTCCACCTCCTGTTGTTACAGATGAACTAACTCACTCCACAAGGCATAGAATTTATTTTGCTTTAGTTATTTTCAGTCTGAGATATCACTGAAAACAAGGAGAAGCAATCTTGCTGTAATTAATGTAACTCAGAAACATACAGCTCAATAAATTACAGTTGTATAGAGAGAACAAAGAATGCTGATATATAAACAAATATACTAATATATAAATATAGAGGCTTCAACATATAGATATATCTAGTATCGACATATTTATATCTATATATCTATAATCACACACATTAAAAGAGTGTGCTGTGTATATAAATATAATTAAATATAATCTACAGTCTATTAAAAAAAGCTGAATTAGGAAATAGCTTTATTTTTGGTACCCTACAAAACTACAGCACAAAATTGCACTGCAATAAGAAACAGGCCTTAAAGCTTTTCAAACAAATATTTTATAGAAGGTAACTAGAAAAAACACTGAACAAAACAGTATTCAATGTATTTGTCTGTTCACTGAGAGCATTTTTAAGAAGCAGTATTTCACCAATGCCCAGTTACAAACACAAAAGGCATAAAAGCTTAGAAAAGACAAACTTCTGACTGAGCAAGAGGCTTTGATTTAATTTCTGCCAGAGAAGTGTAACCCCTTCGTAGATCACCACTTACTTTCAGGTTTTGAATCAGCTACTGCATCCTGCATCTCCTTCAGCTGGAGCTGGGCTCTCTGCAGCCTCTGCTCTGCATGGAACAACTTTGGAGAGAGAATTGGACACACATAAGCTCATCCCTTGGAAATACATATTCAAACAACTAAACCAAAAGAGCAAAAGAACCTCAAACAGAAAAAATGGCAGCTCTAAGCATCTGGTGAGGATCTGTTTCACAAGGGAATGTGCCAGACCAAATTTTCAACACTTGGCCTGGGTTTATTTGATATCCCCTAATGTTAAATGAAGAGAGGATTCTTGTTCTCCCAAGCGATACTTTATGGCAGAACTTCATTCAACAATTTTCAACCAAAATTATAAGTGCCTTGAGCATTACAACAACAACAAAAGGCAGCAAGAATCAGGATTGCAGGTGGTACCTGTCCTTATCCTACAGTCCCTGCAATGCAGCTGAGTTGTCACAGCAATCCACTGTCCATCCCAAGAGCAGATGGAAAGTTTCTTGCCAAACAACCCCCAGCTGATTTGCATTTTTATGATTTATGGAGATGTGTACTAAGAACTGGAATTAGCTGGACATCACATTCATTTTACTTGTGATCTCATGCAGGTTCAAGCAAAGACCCAACAGCTTGGGAGCTACTAATTCCCATTGATTCCACGTGCAGACACAGACTGCAATACAGGAGATCTGGGGAGTTTTCCCCTTTTATTACAGTGTTGCAGTTCAGGCTACAGAATTTGGTGAGATGGTGTAACAAAATGGCACCGGATTTTATGAAAGTACCTTGTTTTGACAACATAGGTCAGGAATAAAACCCACCCTCATACTCAGAGGTGTTGACATCCAATGTGCTGACAGCTTCCAGTGCTTCTCAGGACACCACTTTTGTCAAACTCAGGGACCAAAACCCCAAGGTTGCTCCTGAATACATATTCCCCCCACCCAGGGAGAAGCTGAGGTACTTGCTGTGCTGCTCAGCCCCTGAAATCTTGGTGCAGATGCACAGAGATAGAAATCAAACCAAGGAAACATTTGCTCACTCCCATAAATATGATGAGTTCCCTTTGGGTGCTCCGGCAGTAAGTCATGGAACGTTTCCTGGGAACGCTCAAGGATGATGTCAGTGGCAGCTGAGGCAGCCAAGTACCTTCACTGTGCTCTTCAAAACTTGCAGGGTCAAGCCTCTTCCCTTAAAACCTACATAGATCTTTTAAATGGGATTTCATTTTCTGGGGTCGGGAGAAACTCTCTACTGTTGGTCCTGCTGTCTTTCTAAAATGCCTGATTCCCAAACAAATGTCAACAGCTCTTTATTTTAATAGGTATGTTTTCATGTCAGTACCTGACTTTTTTGTTCTTGTTTCTGTTGAGCCAGAGATTCTTCTCTCTCTTTTTCCAAGCGGAGCTGTCTTGCTATTTCAAGCATCCGTTGATGATTTTGTACTGTCTCCACCTACAGCAAGTGGATAAATAGTGCATGTTGCTGTCAGATAGTTGAGAAATACATTAAAGGGATCATATGTCTCACAAGCCCACTTAGCACTTCCTTTCCGTGCACGTTACTACTCAGAAATGACAGCAAAGTACTGGACTCGAGATTCTTAAAAGCCCTGGACTGAGGCCTGGGAGATTCCCTGTAGGTCAATTAGTTACTCGACTCCTTCCTAGACATACAGTATGTTTATCTTAATCCCTGTTTGCATTCCAAAATCAGAGTTGCAAGCCAAGGATTATGACACTGAAATGGAACAGTGTTACTTCTCTTATTACCCTCTTCTTGAGACGCTCTACTCTTTTGACCAGTTGATCTTTCTCCTCTTCCATTGCACTGATGTCCTAAAAAGCAGAAAAAAAAAAACATAAATAAATATTAATTTATTTACCATGTATGTTGGATTGGACTAAATTCTCTTCTAATTAATATGAAAATCAGAATTCTTCTCTGAATATACGGAGGTGGTTGTAATTTTATTGATCTACGATCAGAACACCCAGGATTCCAATCTCTCTTACTTCCCCCACAGTTCCCACTCCCTCTATGCTAACACTCCTCATCTGCATCCCTGAGTATTAGTGTGAACATTTAAAATAAATGCAGGTGGATTTCTCTAAAATAAAAACAAACAAACACACACCACCAAGGAAAAATCAGCACGAATTCAACATCGGATGCAGTCTGACATATGTTCTTAATGTCACCATCATTACCCACTTCCTGGCAGACCATTCTGCAAGAAGCTGCATATGAGGGATGTCTGCTGCCACTTTTTGTATTAGAACTGTGTTAAAAGAAACACTTTCTAGTGCTGAAATATGTATCTCATTATTATTTTCCTTTAATCCTATTTTACAACAGCAGGACTCCACAGATTGATAGTTATGAGAGAAAGGGAAATAAATTCTCCAAATGTACATCTCAACATTTGCTTGGCTTGTCTATATGTCCCCTGGAAAGCTGTACACAGGTTTAATTATTTTGCTGAAACAGGGCAAATATCTTTACTTAACACTTTATCCACACGGGTTCATCATCATTGTTGACTTAAGCTCTTAATTCATTCAACACCCTCTGGAATTATTACCCTGTATCAGGAAAGCACAAGGTTTTGTATGAGTTTGCATTCAGAGGAAATGGAGTTCTAATATTTGGAAACCATGCTGAACAGAGTCTTGGCAGCCTCATTCCCCAATCTGCTCCAGAAAGCTCCGCTCTGAGCACGAGCAAAGACTTTCTGCTCTGTTTGCCAACACAGCACAGTTTCCAAAAGGCAGCTGCAGAGCCCACCAGCTCTGGCCTCTACAACTTACAAACCCAACAAAAACAGGGCTTCAAAAAACAACCAAAGAAAAGCTGTGCATTTTTTTTTTACCCTTCTTATCTCTGCAGTGGATAAACCAGATATTTTGAGCTGCTCGTACTCCTTATGCAGGTTTTTAAATGCTTCCATGAGTTCTTCATACTACAAAAGGAAACAGAAATCGTGCAGAATGAGCTCTGTGTCTGGGGATTTTCAGATCAACACATCACTTTATTACTATGATAGTATATGAAGACATAGAAATATGGTGAGAAAAAGAATAAAATGCATTGTTTTCACTGCAAAAGCTTGTCAACTTATAAAACAGAAACTAAAAAATCACAGTGCATTATCTTGCATTTAAAGGTCCAATCAGAATTTCACAATTTCTTCAGTATTTTCATCTCTTCCCTTGTAACACAACAGTGTATTTTCAAAGCAGAGAGATAAGATGTTAGCTGAGAGGGACAAATCCATATTAACAAATTATTCTCTCTTACTGTAAATCTGTGTATATCACATCCACACATTTATCAGCCCAAATAGGAGGGGCCTGACCTAACAAAACACTTGACTGAAGCCATGGGGCTTGAATTTGCAGAGTGGCCCAAGAGCACAGCTGAGGTAACACGTGAGGAGTGGCTGTGACACGTTGCATAACCCAGGTACCTCACAGGGACTGACTGATGCAGCTCAGCACTCAGGGAGAAGGAGACAGTGTGCTACTTCCACACCAGCACAGTGCCCACCAGGAATCTTAAACTGAGAGGCAGTGTGAAAGTCTGTGTGGGTAGAGAAATAACAGGGGACAGAAAGAGTTTAGAAATATGGAGAGGAAATAAATTTAGATTTGACTCGGAGAAATGCAAGCTGAGGTATAAGGGAAGATAATCTCCACAGAAACAGCCATTCAATGAGATGGAAAAATCTATAAAGAGAATATCAAGTCTTTTTTTTACTTCCTGGAAAGAGCAGTTGATACAGAAGTTGAACACAAAATGGCAACAGCAAAGGCCAGTTCAAACAAAGCCATCAAAGCCCTGAGCAGTGAAGCAGCAATTCCATTCTATAAAACCCTGGGGAACCAGCATCCAGAGTGCTCTGCTCAGGTCTGGCTGTTGCAGTTTCAAGCACGGACTGACAAGCTGGAATGAATTCAAAAAAATAGCAATAAAATGGCTACTGAGAAGAAGATAAAGCCACAGAGAAAGAGCTGGATTGAAGGGCAAATAAAGGTGTGATAAGGAATGCACAGGCTGGACAAGGAGGAACAAGTTAGGAGTGAAAACCCAGCTGGTTTCCATGATGCCACTAAGGCACTGTGGAAGTCCTTGAACAAAAATGAAATACCAGGTGGTCCCTGAGCAAGTGCTTTCACCACTTCTGCTGTCCAACAGCTTTCCTTTGTGTGTCTCTACCTCTGTCAGAAGAGGAGTTTAGGAAATCTTTTCCTTAATGGACACAAAATTTCAAGGCCAATGGCAGGACTCAAACAAGGGCAGAGCACAGTTTGATGGATCATAACAAAGGGAAGGCTCTCACTTTTCACTATGGGTACCCCCACATGCACCTGGAATATGGGACACACTCAAATGACCAAAGAACACCCACATTCCTATATGGAAAGATTCCTGGCAGCTGGGAGCAATTCACTGAAGACTGGACAACTAAATTAATGCCTGAAGTTGCTAATTTTTTAAATTTTAAACTGCAGCCAATCCAATGGGTAAATCCCAACAGAGTGGGAAGGTGGCAGGTATGCTGAGTATCTTGTATAAATAATTTTAAAAAGTACATTTGAGTTTGATTCTACACAGCCATAAAACCCGACCATGTTATAAAGCATCCAAACCCTCAAAATTTGAAATTTCTCTTAAAAGACACCACTGCAAGCCTGTATCTAAATGATTTAGGCTAAATTCTTTAATTCATTAGTATCTAAACATTTGCGTTGTCATGTTAAACTGCAGTAAGGCATTCTATTACCCCAGCTTCTGTTTTGAATTAATCAGCAGGGTATCAGTTTAATAAGATGGTTCTATTACTGTAATCCCAAAAAGGAACACATCTTATGTAATGGAAATTATGGAGGTGGATATTTATACATATTAAGACTGTGACATATGAAAAAACATACAATCTGAATTGCTTTCTCTCTTTACTACTTCTGCTGAGTTATCCCAAGTTATAAATCAAATATTGGTAGAGGTAACAAAAAACCAAAAGGCTTGGTCAAGCTTCAGTCAGACTGTTCAGCTTTGCTGGTGCACAGTTAACAAATCAGTTACCTGTTACAAACACTAAAAACCACTGTGGTTTCATAAAACAAAACTCACAGAAAACTGGATAAAAAAAATTTAAGTAAATATGTACCTCAGATAATACAGATATAAACCCATAACTTTGGTTCACTTGAAGTTTTACAATTCAAACCCACCCAGTCTGACTATCTTAAATCAACATTCAATGCTCACAAAAGAAGTGGGAACATAATAAGTAGGAATGTCAGCACAGAAAAGAGAAATCTTTTACTTATTCACAAAAAAATAAATGGTTGAAGCAAAAGCAGAATAAGGCTAATACAAATATTAGGCATTAAATACTATCAATTGACAATCATGACTACCAAATACAATCAATTGATAATTAGGAGACATTGGCTTTTGGTGACAACATTTTCTGGACTGCTTTGAAGTGGTAATTTACAGTTAAAAACATAAATGTCATAGTTCATAAGAAAAAAAGATGTTAAAAAATTAAGAAATAAAAATCTGTCTAGGGCAACATGGCTCTGGACACGATCTGGCACCCAGTACTTAATGGGCTGAAAGCCTTTTAATTCAATACTGCCTATTAATTTCCAAATTCAGGGTTATTGGAAGGAAAGTAGTCAAGACATCTATTTCTTATTATGAATCTTTGCTCATCCTCTCTGCCAACATTACTCCCAGATTCTTTCATCCCTCCTCCCACCAGCACTTTAATTCATGGAAAACGCTGGCGCTCAAGAAAAACGGTACCTGTTTGTTGATGTCAGCCACAGTGTCATCCTGGAGAAACTCTGCTGGCACTTCCAGTTTCACTAAGAAACGTGCCAGGTAAGCTCTTTTCTTGAGTTCATTGGTCCTCTGCAGAAGCCAGTGTAAGAGGGGATGAATGACAGGTTTGCTCCCAGTAACCAACCCCTGGCGAAAAGCACTTCTGTGTGACAATGACAGAGAAAACACCAAAAAGTCTCAAACTAAGGAAAGCTGGCTTGGAACAAAGAATTTGCAATGTTTTGATGCTCCTTCTCCACTTGACTAATGATTTTCTTAATGCTGTTAAAAGAGAAAATGCTCATGATGAGGCTGAGAGGATTGGGATTGTTCAGCCTGGAGGAGAGAAGGCTCCAGGGTGAGAAGAATCTGAAGGAGCCGACAGGAAAGATGAAGGGAGACCATTTACAAGGGCCTGGAGTGACAGGACAAAGGGGAATGGCTTTCCACTGACAGAGAGTAGGGTTAGGTGGGATGTTGGGAAGAAATCCTTCCGTATGAGGGTGGGGACACTCAGAGAAGGTTGCCCAGAGAAGCTGTGGGTGCCCCATCTCTGGAAGCATTCAAGCCAGGGTGGATGGAGCTGGGAGCAACCTGGTCTAGTGGGAGGTGTTCCTGCCCATGGCAGAGGGTTGGACTAGATGGTTTTATGGTTTTTAAGATCCCTCCCAATCCAAACCTTCTGGGATTCTGTGATGGCAGTTTGCAATTTCGAATCCCCATTCTGCTCCCTTGAGGCAGATAAAACCCCTATAACGCACTAAAGGGATAAAGCCAGGAGGGACGACTCCTGGTTCCCTGCGGCAGTCTCGGGGAATGCCGGCAGGGTGGGCGGGGCGCGGGACTTGGGCATCACCTGGCGCAGGTGAGTCGCTCCCGCCTCGGGCGCTGCGGGGACGGGCGGGGCCGGGCCGACCCTGCCGGGCGGGCAGTGCCCTCTGCCGGCAGCGCCCGCCACTGCACCTGCCCAGGTGTGGCACCGCACCTGGCACCACATCCCGCATCCACAGGGACACGGCAACAGCTCTGGCACCGCACCTGGCACCACATCCCGCATCCACAGGGACACGGCAGCAGCTCTGGCACCGCACCTGGGATCCCATCCCAACCTCCACAAGGACACGGGAACAGCTCTCACCTGAACTAAAGGTCACTACCACATGAGCAGCAAACAACGTTTTAATGGTGTTTGCAGGTAAAAGGATACTCACAGGTCTGACACATTCCCTGGAGGTTTGTATTTGAGAATTCCAAGGAGACTCAGCATTCTTTTAGCTGTTTGTTCTGGCAGCTCCTCTCTAATGTCAACAGCATGCTAAACAGTTTGTAGAAATTATTTAATTAATGACTTATAGGTAATAATAATTATTATATCATAATATTACTAAATATTGTAATTATGACATTACTTATTTTATTATAATTTGTTAATTATTATAATTATATTGTTAACTATAATTAATTAGAATTATTATATACTTCTTTGTCCAAGTGGTATCAATTAACTGGCAACACTAAAAGAATTGACTTTATTACTTTATCAAATGATAGTGAGATACTCTGCACAGAACATCCCTTTTATCACCAAACTTCAATTCTCTTCTAATTTCCTCCAACATGCGTATTCAGGTAAATTCTTCCTAAATTACCATTCTCCCTGCTGACAGGAATCATCTATGCAGACACTCTGAACACATCCGAGAAGGAATTCGGGCATCCTGGCACTCCAAGGCACAGGTATCCATGCCCCAGATGTGTGGACATGTGTGTGTGCAGGGCATAGCCTGACCTTGCCCTAAGAACATGAAGAGTCTCAGTATAAACCAACATCTGTATCCTGAATTTCACAGCGAAAACATCCAGTGATCAGTCTCTGGGGACAGGGATCCAGTCCCTGCCCCAGGGAACATCTGCTGCTTTGCAAATATTTTTATACACTCAGATGTATTGACAGGAAGGATTCTTGCCAGGCACATTTATCCCCAGGAAGATCCATACAAGCTGTTTTGAAAAACCAAGCACGCTACGGGATTACACTGAGCCAGACCCAAAGAAAAGCACATTTCGGTGTCAAACCCACTGCAAGAGGTGTGAGCAGCTCTGAGCGCCCCCCTTACCTTCGGGTCAATCTCGCCCAGAACATCATTGAGCAGCTGCAGCAGCTGCACCGACTCCAGGGAGTCAAACGAGATTAAGTTGTAGTTCTTCCTGAAGGGCTCCTGATTGAGCTTCTCGACAATGAACTGCATTTGGTCACCCATGGCGGTGTCCCGGGGGGCACCCGCAGAGGACACACGGCGGGTGTGGGGGCGGTGAGCAGGGCCCCGGGGACGGGGCGGGCCGGGGGGCCCGGGCCGGGCCTGGCGATGAGGCCCCAGCGGAGCCTCGCGGCACCGCGGGGACGGTTGCCGGGATACGGCGTGACGTCACTTCCGATGCCACGGCGGAGCGGCGGGAACCGGGACCGCGCCGGGCGGGGAGGGGGCGGGGGCTGATAATGGAGGGCGGGGCCAGACTGTGACGGAACGGGGTTGATCTGTGAGGGGGCGGGGCCGGAGCGTGTGTGGGCGTGGTCTAGCTGTGGTGGGCGTGGTTGGGTTTTGAGGGGGCGTGGTCAGGCTGTGAGGGGCGCGCTCTGTCTGTGGGAGCGTGTCCGGGGTGTGGTCAGGGGCGGGGCGAGTGTGGGTGTGTCGGGGCGGGACCCACCGGGGCGGGACCCGGCAGGTCTTTCCGGGCTCTCCTCGCGTGTTTCGCTGCCCTCGCAGCCGCCGCAGCCCGAGGAAGCCCTCCCGGTGGCCTCGCGGTGTGTCCCGGGCAGCCCTTCCCGCTCAGTTCCGTCCCATTTTCTCCCCGCCGCGAACGTGCAGGGGCCGCGGCCGAGGTCGCTGTGAGGGCTCTGGGGCGGACACGGCACAGGGAAAGGCTCCCGTGCGGCTCCGTCACGGCACAAGTGCGAGGAACGGCAGGAACAGGTCCGAGATTCACCCTCCGCAGGATAAACTTGGCTCTGCGGCTCCTCCCGAGGGAGGTGGTTGTGGCGTGTGTAGGAGATGCACAAACAGATTGCTGCAGTTACCCAAGTAAGGTTTCTGGCAGGCTCTGACAGCACAAAGGGGCGTCGAGCGTGGCTGGTGTGGGTGTCAGGTGAATGTTACTTCATTCCTTTGAAATGGAAAGGTGTGCAGAGGATCCCTGTGGAATGGGAACGCCAGTCCCGCGCCAGGCTTCACCCTGGGGAAAACGGCAAATGTGTGTCCTCGGGGTTGGACATCAGTTTTCAGCCTTGAAATACCCATAAATATGTAGTGCATAAACCTGAAACAGGGACAGCAGCTCCAAAAACACCAAACAATCCAAACCAGATTTATATTAAAGTGAAACTTGTTCATGAAATCTCTCAATCTGCAAGATTTTTCTTGCAGATCCTTCAAAAGCTGTGCTTAGACCTGAAATAGGTGGATTTTGGAGCCTCTCTGCTGTTGCAATTAGGTTCTTGGATAGTCTCAGAATCCCATGCGAGTCCCCAGATGATGGATTAAAATACGCAGTGAGTCATGTGAAATTGGTGCCAATTGAAATGCACAGGTTGTAAATCACTGCAGGATTTGACTCAGTAAGTAGCATAACTGTAATACTTTGCAATTCTAAGCACTGTGACTATCTTGGATGAGCTCTTTTTTCCTTATGAGAAACAGAAAGCACTTCATAAAATGATTTAATCAAATGTAATCCCCTTCTTCACGGGAAGGCTGAGCAGTGACACCGCATTGGTGTCCAAGCTTTTAACTGCTTAAACAATCACAAAGGGGATGGACGGCTGACTTGTGGTTGTTCATGAAAGCTGTAGGAGAGCCAGGAACATAATCCAGGTCTCTTGACTCCTGGATTTGAACTCTAAAACCAGATCATGTTTCCTTTGTTCTGTCAGTCCATATACTGACCTTTAGGAATCATATTTACCTACAAGTTCCCAGAAGAGATCTACTTTCCCTTGTCATGCTCTCCTGGTATCAATTACAGTTTTCTCTGGTGAGTATTTTGAGCATGTAGGACACAGAGAGAGCAAATGAAAATGGTATTTCTGCTGGAGGTGCTGGGGCCAAACCTGCTCTGTGTAGACTGAGTTAATGGGTTATAGGAAGTATTGCCTGTGGGTCCACCACTTAATCCTAGAGAAACACTGTTTCTGTAAATACCATTACACAGCTTTTCTTCAGAGGGGAGAGATTGTGCCTGTGGTGTTGAGAATGGAGAGGGGTCTGTGCTGGGTGAAGTGGGATGATGCTGCTCTGAGATCCTCCTCTATATCAGATTATTTCAGTCCCCACACTGAAAGGACTCTTCCCCTCTTCTCATATCTCTCCAATGTTAAAGAGGCAACAGATAAAGAAGAGGAAAGATGTACGAAAACTTTAGAAAATGCCAAGATAAGATGAAAAAAAGATGGTGAGATGGAAACCCATGAAGTCTGATTGTTCTGGCTCTGGGGAAGGAGACCTCCATGACCAGAGATCATTAAAAGTGGACTGGCTGAGCTAAAAGTGGACTGGCCAACAACCAGCTTGTTGACCTGTTGGAAAGCTCAAGTGACTGAAGGCAGGAGCAAACTCATACCTTGGAGCCCAGTTTTGTGGGACTTTCCAACTTATGGAAGGTGTGAGAGATCCCTTGTCATCCTTTAAGTTTTAGGTTGTCACAGTTCTTTCCTCCAACAGTTTTGTGCTCTTCATAAGAGCAGCCCCAAGAGCCATTTTGCTCCCCCAGACTGCCTCTCTTCTGCTTCATACTTACAGTCTGCAGTGGTGTCTGAATATTAAGAATTACTGCTTAAAAAAAAAAAATCAAGGCTTAGCTCAGTGCCTTGACCTCTTTATCACAAGACAATCTTCACAGACACAAAAGAGATTATAAGCCCTCAGTGCAGCCTTGAGTAAATATTACAGGGAGCAGCTGAGATATTTGTTTGATGCTTAACTCGTCTTAAGTTATTTTAGTTGGGGGATGTGGTATTTGGGTCAGGTCTTACAGATTGAGGGCCAGTGTTCCAGCATATTTGTTCTATAATTCTGTGGTCATTTTCCACATTCCCAAGTTAGTTTGCGCAGAGAGTGATACAGGTTTTGAAGCAAAGTTTCCTAATGACATGAGAGTTATTACAACTATTCAGCCCTATAGTTCCACCCTGCTCTCTGGACAGAGTTTATGTTTTATATTGCTTGGGAAAGGCTTATGGGAGCTGCTCATTGCAGAGGCAACGTGTGGCAGAAAGAGAACAGAGCCTGCAAATGAACTACCCAGAGCTCTCCAGACCTGCCTCATTGCTCCCTCCTGCCTTTCTCCTCCCTTTACAGCCACTGCTGTGTGGAAGCTGCAGAGCAGAGCTGTGAGAGAGCTCGACCACAGAGGCCAGCAAATCAGAGCGGGACGAAACCTGAGCAAATGAAAATCCTGCTCCAGGGCCAGAGAGATCACCTTATATGGGAACATCATGGGAGAGAGATGAACACGTCCGGCCGAGCTGCTGAGGTCAGATCCCAAACAGAGGGGGGATGTTAATGTGAAAACAAGAGCATTTATGAAGAGAAGACAACACTTCTGCTTCGCTTATGCAATCTGAGCCCTCCTGTTTGTCTCTTTTATTATAAATGTTGTGCTCTGTGTATGTACACGTAGGCCTGGCTGTGTTATATTAAAATTCATTTCTTTGTGGTTATTTTGATACCTAAATGCATCCCAGGTCTGTTTCTGGTGCCCACTTGCAGCTGTACTGTGGTCAGCTAAAGCCTAAGGAGGGACCACTGATGGCTCAAAAAATGAAGCCTGTTTGTGCAGAACACAGTTTGTTCCTGTGAGCTGAAGCATTTAAGACAATACCAACAGCCAGAAAGTCTGTCTAGTTTTGAATGTTTTGCCATGACTACAGCTGTAGGTGATTTAAAATACAGAAGGACTGGAAGAAAAATACTAGATCTGGTTTGTAGGGTATTTTGTGCCTTCATGTGAGTCTTCTGTTGCAAGAGAGAGGCCCCTGGTCCTTTTAATCTGAGTCTAATGGATTCTGACCCAAACTTGTGTCTTTCAGGCTCTGAGCCTGGGATTTACAGGTTCCACTTTGACAGCTCTGCATCTTTGCAGCCTCTACTCCTGTGTGTACAGTGTCAGATGGTGGCTTCACACCTCACCTTGACCCCCTGGACCAGATGCCAATAGTTGGCTTGGAGCACAGTGTCCAGCTCTGGCTTGTCCGTGGCTCTGTGGAGTGAGAGAGGCCACAGGCAAAGGATGTGCAAAGTATTGGCTCTGCTGAGAGGAGTAGTGACTTCATCACTCCTTTTTAATCCCAAGACCTGGTGCAAAACCAATCTAAGACCAAATAGGGTGGTGTCCCATGCAAGGGGAGATAAGAAGCTGGAGATCTCTGTGGCCATCGATGACCCCAGAGTTTGCTTTACCATTGCCCTGTGCCTTGCAAGGCCATTGCTACCCCTGTGAAGTGAGTGTTGTGTGCATCTGCCCAGTCCAGAAGAGCATTACACCTGCTTTGCACTGGTGTGAAGTGTTGGGTGGTGGAGTCAGGCCCAGAAGGAGGTCAGTGGGCCCCTGGCTTACATCCACTTAACCTCAGTTGTCCCAGTGTTTCTTCAGACTGGCAATGTCTGGTAGTACCGAGGAGAGATGGTACCATGGCAGCAAATGAGACCATTGATCTGGTGTTAGACCTTGGAGGGTGGATGTGGTTGTGGGAACTCTGAGGTGGGAGAGTGGCACAGGCTGTTATCTAACAAGGTGGGGTTGCTTGGACAGAGTTAACTAAGCGTCCTCTAAAAAACAGTCATGGTTTTGTTTCTTGCCATGCTGTCTGTTTTTGTTTCTTGTCTGAAAAATCAAAAATAACTCCACGGATTAATCTCAGATTTACACCAGTGTTTCTGAGATTAGAGCCTGCTCTGTAGAGTCCCTGTTCAAGGTCAGATGAAATGGCAAGTCACCCCTTGCAGCAGATTCCAAGAACAATAAGATGTTTTAGGAATATGCAATAACTGATTGCCTCTAAAGGGCAAATTTTCCTCTGTGCTGCCAAGCTAGGGCTGTTCTCAGTGATAAGTGTTTGCTGAACAAAGTCTGCCGAGGTTCATGAAGTTGGTTTCATTCTCCTGGGAGGGCAGCAGGCCAGGACATTGAGCACACTGATCCCAATCACACAAACAATCGAGTCTGCAGGAAATTCAAGTTGCCTTCCTAAGGTTCCATACCCACCTACTGCTGCTCAGAGCTGGGTTCCCACTGCCACTTTCCAACATCATCGTTATCCCAAAGCACTGTTCTCCCGAAGGAAAAGGCTGAAAAGCTGTTATAACAGAGGATATAAATAAAGGAGCATTGAGCAGTTG